CTGAGGAAGGCTTTGGCACTCCTATGGGGCTGAGGCATTTGGGCCCTTGACAGGACCATGGCCAAGTCAACAGCACAAATTCACTTCTGACTCCACTTACTCCCTGTGGTACGGGAGTCCATCTAATCAGCTGCTACAAACTCTGCCAAGTTGAGGTCTACACAATTCCCATCTCACTCACCAGAACTGCCAGCCCAACCCCACAGGCCCAACAGGAGTGCCAGGTCATGTGCCTGAGAGGCAGCAAGCCAGGAACATTAATAACAATCCCAGTCTCTAAGGACTTGAAAATTTAAAAGCTTCCCTTTCTGTCCAAGCTTCTTGATTGTCTGGGTTGAATCATTTGTGAGTCAATAATTTTACTTTAAAGTCCAAAACAATAGAGAGGAGAAAACCCCTATCAACTTAAACAGCAAGAAACAGCCTAGGGGGAAATAGTGCATTTTTTTTTTACATGTTATTTTTATTTATTTATTTTTTTATGTTTACAGACCTGTATCCATGTGCCTGCAGTGCCTGAGGAGGCCAGAAGATGGCGTCAGATTCATTGAGAATCTTGGACTGGAGTTAAAGATGCTTATGAACTGCTGTGAGTACTGGGAACTGAACCTGGGTCCTCTGAAGAACAGCCAGTGTTGCTAACCACTGAGCAATCTCTCTAGCCCCAAATTACAGATTATTCTTTCGTTCTTTCTTTCTTTCTTTTTTTTAGATTATTCTTATTTGCTTAATAATGCCATAATGTCCCTTATCTCCTGTCTCCCTTCCCTCTCCTTTCCTTTTCCTCCTCCTCTCCCTGATTTTGAAACAGGTCTTACACTATAGCCCCAACTGGCCTTGGACTCTCAGCAATCCTCCTGCCTCTGCCTCTCTAGTGATGGGATTACAAGCACATGTGAACTCTGAGGCCAGATATGGTATTTCTTCATTTCCTTCATTGAAGACTGGGAACCTGTGGTTCTATGCTCTTATTTGACTACTCAGTAACACTGTGTACTCCCAGATACCTAGGAGGCTAAGGTTGAGAGGATCCTGTGCCCAGCAGTTGGCGGTCAGCCTGGGCAGCTTGGGATATCCTGAGCCCCTCCCTTCCAATAGGCATGGTGTCAATCCCAGCACTTGGGAGGAAAAGGCAGGAAGATTAGGAATTCATAATCACCCTTGGCTACACAGTGAGTTTGAGGCCTGTCCTGCCTATGTGAGACCTTGTCTTTTTTCATTATGTATTTGTTATATGTATGTCTCTGTGTGAGGTGTGAGTATATGTACATGACACGGTCACTTTGGAAACCAGAAGAGGGCATTGGATCCCCTAGAACTATTGTTACAAGCAGTTCTGAGCTGCCTGCTGTGGGTGGGAGAACAGCAAGTGATTTTAACCTCTGAACCATCTCTTCAGCCCCGAGATCATGTCTAAAAAGTGTGTGTGTGTGTGTTGGGGGTGTCAAATCATTTGCAAACATGAATCATGGGTTCTGCTTACTTACTGAGAACTCACTGGCGCACATCACTTTTCTTAAATGTTTGGTGAGGATTATGTCGTGACTTCTTTACTCTGAGATCAGTTATTATTCCTCTTTTATATAGGAGAAAAACAAGAGCCAAGGTGGTTAAGTAACTTGGCCAAAGTCACACAGCCAGCAAGCCTCATGTCATATTGTATCCCTGTATTGCTAGAGACATGGCACTCATCCTGAACAGTTCTGTTCTGCCCCCTAGGGACAACAGAGTTCCCGGGAGGTTAAGGAAGGACATCTGCTCTGGAATTCTCCTGGCTGTGGAGGCAACACTGACTGCAATGTGTTGACATTACAGAGGTCCCTTTGGGGTTCTAGTTGCTGAACTTGGCTGTTGGTTCAGGCAAGCCAGCCTGGTACTCGGTTTTCAAGTCTTTGGAGTCGAAACATTATTTATTGAGTACATGTGCATGGGCCCTTGAGGACCCTGGGTTCTCCCCACCACTCAGAGGAGCTGTATATATGCGCATACCACACTTGAACATATATACTTTACATACATGTGTGTGCATGCACACTCACACATACACATTCACACACACTCACACACACACAATTACACAATTCACACACATGCACAATTACATTTACACACATTCACATACTCACTCACACACATTCTCACATACACACACATTCACATACACTCATACATACTCTCACATACATTCTACACACTTACACACACACATTCACACACTCTCATAACACTCCACACACATACACTCATTCTCACACATATTCATACACAAACACACACACGCACACTATCCAAAACATCCATCATTCAGCTCAAAGCTGGAAATTCCCAGCCATTCATTTGTATGTTTTTCTGTCTGGCCTCGCCCTTCTGGGGAATGCACATCGAAGCCACAAATGGAGGGGAATCTAAGGGCAAAAGGCCTAAAGTAGGAAAGTTGAGGCTGGCTACTGCCTAGAGTCCCTGATGCCCTGGGGGGAGGGGTGCACCTGCTGCAGTGGGCTCTAAGACTCTGGCCATCCAGCAAAGTCTAAGTGTGAGATGGAGGCAAACGGAGAGGAGGAGGGGCTGCAGCTTGGCCCACACTCCTAGGGGCTGTCTGCAGGAGTTCTCAGGGGGCTCAGGCGTCTGCACATTAAAAACTCTGGGGCTCATGCTTGCAGAAACAGGGCTTTGTTGGGCATGGTGGCACACATCCAAGAACTTGGAAGGGTGAGGTAGGAGGTAGATTATCTAGGCTTCGTTGGCAGGTAGCTCTGCTCCTCTATGCTTGCTGGACTCCTTGCAGTGTAGTAAATAGAGAGAGGTCAGGGGAGAGAGCACCAAAGCAGCAGGCCTGGGCCACATAGGGAAGAGCTGGTCTCATGAGCCAAAACGAAAACCCTCAAAGCCTAATGGCACATTCCCTAAGATCTGAGCTCTGGAAAAAGGCTTGGTCAAGTGCCAGCTCTTCAGCACCTGTGAACTGGAGCAAGCCATGCATCTCTGGGATTGGACCAGGTGCTCTACCACTGACCTGCATGCACCCTTGGCCGGAGTTCACATATCCTTGGCAAACTTTACTTGCGTAGCAAAGCTCACTGCTAGAAGAATTTGCCACACAGACTGGCATGTGGAAACCATGAAGAAAGAATGGCCACTATCAGCATGATTGCAGGGGGTTTCAGGATGACTGCCCTTTCAAACTGGGCACTGGTGGTAGGAATTGCTTTGGCTAAGTCTAGCTTGCTATATGAAAGAGAAAATGAGAGGCCAAAGTGCTGCAAGATCCCTAGGGATCCCTGAACGGGGATCCAGGTTTCCCCCACCCCCTTCCTCTTCCTGTACTTTCCTAGGATGTTGCTCACACCTCCAGAAATGCCAGCCAAAAGCCCGTGGCCATGCCCTGCAGGGTGGGAAGTGCCTGGGACAACAGGCTGCAGTGGCTCCTTCTTGGATGTGGGAATCAGGTCAGTAGGATGCAGATCTGAAGCACTCCCATCACAGAGGGAGAGCTGACTGCAGCTTGCATGGAGGGGAGGATGCATCCCCTATCCTTTAGGAACTGCAAGTCCCTGCTCCTGGTGCAAATGGATAAGAAACACTGGGAGACCCCAGAAGTGAGGGAAGTGAAATCATGGCCTGCCTTTCATTGATATGTTTTTGATAGAGACAGGAGCACCAAGAAAAATATTCTTATCATAGGAAAACCGAGAGGATGATGATGGTGACAAATGGCAACTGATGCAGCCTAGTGAGTCTGGAGCACTGCACCAAGAGTGGTTGAGATGCAAAGGACAGCTGATGCACAGGCTCTAACTCCCTCTCTCAACCCCCACCTGCCACCTTGAGGGAACACAGGCCCATGGGATTGGATCTTTGGGGTCACTGAGAGAATATAGAAAGATGAATGTATGTGGCCAGCTCCCTGATTTTAAGTGCTGTCTCTACTTTTGTTTTCAAAGAACAACTTATTTTTATTTTATGTGTATGTGTGGGTGTCTGCATGTGTATGTCAGGTGCCTGTGGAGGTCAGAAGAGAGTATCAGATTTCCTGTGAGTTGCTTGATGTGGATGCTGGGAACCAAACCCGTGCCTTTTGCAAGAGCAGCAAGCACTCATAATTGCTTAGCTACCCCTTCAGCCCTGGATTGCTCTAAATTTTAAGACTCTGATATAGACACTAAATCTAAGATGTTATTGATAGAAAGAGGTTCTGATATTTAATAACAACAATATTTAATAATTGCAGAGTAAGTAATCTTAGCTTCTCAAGAGGTTGAAGCAGGAGGATTGTAAGCCCTGCCTTGAATGAGTTCAAGGTCAATCTGAGCAATTCAGATAATGTCTCAAAAAAAGCAAACAAACAAAAACCATTAAAAAGAGCTGAGGGTGCAGGTCAAGGACATAGTTAGCATTTTCTTAGCATGCTGGTATCCCTGGGTTTTAGTATTACTCCAAAGGAACAAAAATAAGTAAATAAATATATAAAATGATGAGAAGAAGGGCCTGCTTAAAAAATATGTCCATCTTAGAATTCACGAAAGACACCAATAGGCTGGACTTGACCTTGACACCCTTGTGCTGTTCTCAGCCCGCATAACAGCTCACACGTGGGTCATGTCTATGAACTTCCTGGTTTCTTGAGAAGTTATATGAAGCAGGAATGAGTCGACACTGTAGAGGAAAATGTGGACACCAGACAAGTGACAGCAAGATCAGGGGTACCTAGGTGGTGGATCCTGGAACACTCAGTAGGACCCACACGGATCCTGAGTCTTGCCAGACCAAGAGACCTCCAGAGAGGTGAAGGCATTGGCTTACCATTGCTCAGCAGCAAGGCAGCACCGAGCCAGCCCAGGCTCCGGTCCTCCCTATTCCCACCTGCATGGTCTTCTGTAGAATCCCTGCTCCTGGTGCAAATGAGCTAAGGACAGGGTCTCAGAATTTGTCCCCTCTCCTGCCATTCCCCCCATTTCCACCTCTCCTGTTCCTGTCCAGGCCTGCCCCAGAGAAAAGCACCCTTATTTGATTCACAAGACTTTTAAATTTTATTAGTAAAATACAAAATGGCACAGACATTGATAATGATGCTTGAAAAAGCCAAAGGATTGACCAACTCCCTCCAAACAACTCCCCAGATCGTCTTGGCCCACATTCTGCTGGGGAGAACCCACAAAGTCCATCAAGGGGACCACATGCCCCAGCAGCTTTCATCAACCCCTGATGGCTCCCCACTGAAGGAGCCAGGACAAAGTGCACTCAGGCTGCAGCTCCTGCACCCTGGAGCCAGACCACAGCCTCCCACAAGCTTCCCAGGAGGGAGGGTCACCTGGGGGCTGGCTTCCTCACTCTGGGACAGAGCCAACTGTTCTGAGCTTCCTTTACCTATCAAGAAGTGAGTCACCGGGAAAAGCCTGCCCATGGGAGGCTCTGAAGGTGGAGGGTTGGGGCTATCAGGAGCAGGGTGGGGAGAGCTGCCACCAAGGGCCCTGAGGGGCGAGGTCTGCAGGTCCTGCTCCAGCTAGGGTACTACCCAACTGTCCCCAGCTGGACACCCTGGAAGCTGCAGCAGTCATTTTGTGCCCAGGGCAGAGTCCCTTCCAGACATTTTCACAGGGCTCTTGGAGAATGTTACGGGAGTTCTGGTCCTGCTTGTAGTGGGGCAAAGGTGAGACCTTGGCGTGAACAGTGCTTTCAGAGTTGAGAAAAGATCCAGCCTCCTAACCATCTGGGCTGTGCAGGTACAAGTGCAAGTCCCTGAACTTAAATCAGTTGTGTGGCCACTCCAGATGCCTGCCCTGGATCCTCTGCCTCCCGGGGGCTTGTCATCCCCTTTCTCCTGTGGCTTGTCCTTCAGGCAGGGCAGACCTATAGCTGTAATCTTGGTGAGCCAGGTAGGGGGTGACTAGTGAGGACACAGAGGAGCCTTCTGAGTTGGCCTCTGTTCCTGCAAATCCCCAACTCAGCCTCCATTTGGGGGCCCACAGGGTAGGACCTGAACTCTCAAGTCACCCCTTGCCCTTGGAGTCTAGATTGCAAAGGTGTCAGTCCAGTGGGATGGCAGTGACCTCAGTGTTGATAAGGGCTGGGAACTGCATCCCGGGAGGACAAGGATCTCAGAGAAAGTGATGACATCAGGGCCATGCTTCTTTTCTTTCACAGACGGAGTGCAGTAGCCGAGTGGGGACTAGACCCTGCCTTTAGATGCAGCATGCCGTCACAGCAGTCTGGGGAGGAATGCATTAAAACCCCACACTAGCTCATCTCCCTTCCCAGAGAGCTCCAGGAAACACAGCGTTAACCTCATGCAAAGAAGGACAAAGTGGTGATGGTGGTGGAGGTGTGCTCTGTACAGGGGACAGGGAGAGATAGCACCGCAGCTGGCCAGGAGGGGGAAGGGCTGGCGACTGCAGCAAACCCAGGAGACATGAGGAGGCCAGGGGCACAGGCAGATGGCCTGACCTGCTGCTTATGAGATGGGTGGACCACGGTGCTCACAGGAAACAGGTGTCATGGGGGCTGGGAACGCAATAAATAATTGTTCACTAGGGTTGGGATGTCAAGGGCCCCTCCAACCAGCCAGCAGCAGAGGAGTCTCTCAAATATCGCTGAGCAGGAAGGGCCACCTGCTGTCTCTCATGAGTGGGTAATGGTAGAAGGTGGCCTCCAGGGCCACAATAGGGGGCTTGGAGCACATGGCTCCTGGAGGACCCAACCTCCCCATTCCCATTGTCCCAGCTTGGGTGAAGGTGGGTATGAGGATGGGGGTCCCCAGACAGCTGTCTGAATCAAACTATGGACACCAGCAGTCAGGTAGCTCACACTGGCACCAGGACATATGAGTTACTGCCACAGCTACGGGGCACATAGCGGAGGCCTTCTACCATCTCCCCTGCCATTTTGCGGGAACAGCCCTGGAGGCTCTGGTAGGCAAACATAGCCACTCCCAGGCAGAAGAGTAAACCCAGGAATGCCAGCAGCCCCACTGCCTGCCTCCGGGTGGCTGCCTGGGAGTCAGGGACAGGAGTGATAAAGACACTCCGCTTCTGGGACTCTGCAGTAGCATGGATGGGCTCCTCTGCCTTGGGAGGCCAACTGCCTGAAGCCACCAGGTCCGGGCTGGGGATCCCTTCAGAGGAAATGGGGGCCACTGAGGGATGGACTGTGTTGCCAGCTTCCCTGTCCTGGAAATTATCAGTATGAGCTTGATTTGTCTCCTCAGACCCTAGAGACGTCGCTGGACTGGGGGTCTGACCTTTAGACCCAGCAGACATCACTGGACTGGGGGTCTGACCCTTAGACCCAGCATTCTCCGGGGTTAAATGTGAAGTGGTGGGTGCCTGGGTCAATGGGGCTGTAGTGGATGGGGATCCAGTAGCCTTCTCCTCCGGCTGAAGCCTAGATTTAGATTGGTAGGCTGCAGAACTCTGCCAAATGGTGGTAGAGATGGCAGCCTTTTCAAAAATCCCAGTGGTTTGAGGTCTGGTGGCAAGCCCTGCATCCTGAGCCTCAGAAGTGGAGAGAGATGATTGAGTTACTGTTGCTGGTGGCTCCTGGGAAGTCCCCATAGGCCTCTGGGACTCCTGGGGAATAGTAGTCAGCTCCAAGGTCTCTGTGGCTTCAGGCTCTGTCAGAACAGATGGGGGCAGTCCCTTGGTGGCTGGGGTGATCCCAGATGTCACATTGACCAATTTCTCAAACTTGCCATTATTCTGAGCTGGGGCAGCAGCCTTGCGGTCCAGATACTTCATGGCGTCTTGGACCCATTTCTCATTTGGGTCAGCACAGAAGTGTCTGTGCAGTCTCGTCTCCAAGCTATAAGGAAGACAGGGGGCTGGTGATGCCAGATGCTAGACAGCCAGGCTGGGGTGGTGGGGAGCACTGCCCACGTGCCCTGCAAGCAAACTGACCAGCCTTACTAGCATGAGGCATTGGGTCACTCCATCCTCTATGTCTCCTAGCCCTTGGCTGAGACATGAATGCCTGTGGTCTGGAGGGAAACCCACCACCTCAGAATAGGCATTCTCAGCTTGAGGGACTACCCCTTTCAAAACCAGGAAAGTCCCAGGCAAATGGGAAACCTACTTCTGTGTTATTGTTAAGAAAAATAAATAAATCAAATTCATAAAATTGAGGGATAATTAGAGTGTTAATAACTACATCACTACCATCAAGGCAAGCAGCTCTGGACTCAGGTCTCCTGGGGATGCCATCGTTCTCTGGGGATGCCTGGGGATGCCATAGGTGTTCTCTGGCACCAGGAACGTGTCAAGGCAGGTTTTCGCACTCTGTGCATAAGCTCCCTGTCTCATGGTGATGGCTGCCCTCTGAACCCCAACTTTCTCCTCTAGGTTTTTGTCCTCAGGCTGAAGCAGCTTCTCAGAGCCAAAGCTGTTTAGTGTGGTCTAAATCTAGAGCCTTCTGTGAGGCTATGCATGGCTGCTTCGCCCCATCAGCAGCTTAGAGCTGATTACCATTCCACGCTACAACCTCTGCAGGTCATACACAGTCTGCATTGCAGCTACCATGCAAACCCCATTTAACAGTTGGAAAGATGAAGTTGATAGATGATGTGCCCAACTGCGGTACCCTGGGAAGCCATAGCGCTCCCAAGGCTGCCATGTTCCCCTTCCACTTTCCTTAGAAGACAGAAGGAACTATTTGTGGGTGTCTGGTGGAGAAACAGAGGGCAGGCAGGAATACATTTTGCATCTCGCCCCTTGGGGGAGCTGTCTGGGGGACAGGAAGCACTGGATTTCCGCTAGCAAAGCCCGAGTTAAAAAGGTCTCTGGTCATTTCCTGCATGGCTGAGGTTGCTCAGGGGGCCATCGTCAGCCCTGGGGAGCAGACTCAGACTGAGCAAATGGGCAATACTCACCATGTGCCCCAGACAGAACAAGGGACCAAACTGGCCAGGTAGAAAATGGCTGACTGGGCCTGTTTCCTCCTCAGAGGCTCTGGGGTTTCTGCTCTTCTGTCACTTGCTGACAGCCATCCTCATGCCTTCCAAGCGCTTACCCAACCACTTTAGCTCCTCCACCTTCTTCCACCCTCCTGCTACCCGCCTCCCAGGTAAGAAAACCAAGGCACAGAGGTAAGAAGTGACCAGGGTCCCCCACTGACTTGCTGGAGTCTGGATCCTGCTCTGGTAGGCCACCTCATTCAACCTCCCCATGGGATCTAGTGGGCTGCGGGCTGTGTAAACAGACTGTATCCTGAGAGGAAGCACCTTCCTGGGTGACCCCCTGGACCACCGTGAACCATCCAGGAAGCCATTCCTCACCTCTGTTGTTTGCCACTGACCTTAAGGTCAGTGAGGCAGGTTGTGGGACTGCAACAAGGGGGAACTTGGCAAGGCCTTTGGCAGGAAGCCCAGGGTGAGGCAGGCAGGAGAGGGCTGGGATGTCCCAGAGCCTTCTGAGGCCCAAGTGATACCTACACAATGGCGGGCCTGCTGCACGATTCCTGGTTCGGCCAATAGTGGATAAGCAATGTCACCGGGATTTCTGAGGTCATCTTGTGGCAGGTGATGTTGCATTTCGTCACGCCGAGGTGTTGACCTGAGTCCACAGAGGCCCCCAGTCAGTAGGACCCCTGGGCATCTGGTGTCCCATTCCCATTTCAGTCTTCTTCTGGATATACTCCCAAGCCAGAGCACTAACCCACATCCAACTCACCCCTTACTAGCCTGTCACACATCAGGAGTCTGCCTCTGGAGCTGTTTTGGACTGGTAGAAATAAACCTTTATCTATAAATCTCCTTTTGCGTAGCACCTAGGAGGCATTTAATTTTGTTGTTGTTTATCAGGGAATCTTTCTATGTAGCTCTGGCTGGCCTCAAACTCACCAACATCCACTTGCCTCTGCCTTACGAGTGTTGGGATTAAAGGTGCGGGCCATGGTGCCCAGACAGGAAGGGTTTTATTTTTAAAATGAAGTCATAGCAAGGGAGAAGAATTTAAGGGAGACACAGACCGTCTGCATGGGGAGGTAGTTGCCCTGCCCAGTCCCATTCCCTGGCCCATAGTCTTACCTGCTCTGCCCATTCCTGTCTTTGGCACAATAAATCATGTACTTAGTCATCACCCTACACCTGCACCCTCCTCCTGCTCCTCACACATGGTAAAGGTAACTTCCCTGCCTGGAAATGGGAGTGGGGAGTCTGCTGAGCAGGTTGCTTCTGTGTTCTGCAGAGTGAGTCTGAGTTAAGTTCAGGAAAAAGGGCAGCAGAACAGGGCATAAGGACATCCAGATAGCTACATTGCAAAAGCCCCTGGGCAGGGGTTTCTGTGAGTGGAGAAACCCAGTTATCTGATATAAACATTTGACATTTCTTGCATTCTTTAGCATTTTATTTCTGCCAATCCCCTTCTAATCAATGGTTTTCAACTTCCCTAACGCTGCAACCCCCTAATATAGTTCCTCATGTTGTGGTGACCCCAACCATAAAATCCTTTTCACTGCTACTCCATAACTGCAATTTTGCTACTATTATGAATCATGGTGTAAACATCTGATAGGCAGATGGTCTTATGAGACCCATGTGAAAGGGTATTCGACAGCCCCCCAAAGGGTTGAGAACCACTGTTCTGAATTTCCAGCAGTGTCCTGTTGTCTGTCCAGTGTGTACTCATGGAATATGGGAAGAAAAAATGAAGAGGAGCCCAGGTTCTATATCTGAGTAAAGGCCATGTCAAACATCTAGAACCTGAGACTCTCCAGGAAGCAGTGTGGATTTGGCTCAGTCTTTAGGACCTGGGAGCCTAGATGTTCTGCAGCCCCCCACCAAAACACACTGCTTTTGCACAAATACTCACACACATATGGATGTGCAAACGCACGCTCCATCTCACCAAGAATGACATAGGAGGCTGGAGGTGAAGCTCAGGGATCCAGTGCTTGCCTGGTATGCACGAGGCTGGCTATCCTCAGCACAACCTCTAAAATAGAAATAGCCAAAGGCAAACATACACCCGGACTTCCTAACCAACTCTCCTCCGCATTGCTCCTGGGCCATGGGCCACTCCACATTGTGGGAAAGGAAGCTTGGGCTACGGGTCTGAGCTGGGTTATTGAAGGCCAGCATGAGTGGCTCCTGAACTCACTGGTTGAATCACAGTGCTGTCCTTTCTCCCCTAAGAAGCAGGATATAAAAGTCAGTTTAGGGCCAGGGAGATGGTTCAGTAGGTTAAGTGTTTGCCACACAAGCTTGAGAATCTGGTTTGATGCCCCAGAAACCATATAGAAAACCAGGCATGGTGGTGTGTGCTTGTAATCCCAGCACTGGAGGAGCTGAGACAGCCAATAGAGGCGAATCAGTGAGCTCCAGATCCCAGTGAAGAGACTGTCTCAGAAACAAGGTGGAGGAACAACACTGGGATTGATCCTTGGTGCACACACACACACACACACACACACACACACACACACACACACACACCACACAATTATAGTGCAGACTTGTCACCCTCCTCCTCCATTCCCAGTGGACCTAAGAATAACTTAGCTGTATCCTCACTCCTCGCCCAGTCCCTGGTGACAGTAGCTTGGTGGCCACTCCTGCATTGGTCTGGCAGATACCTTCCTGAGAAAGCCCTGGGGTGACCTCCAATAGGAGGAGGAATAGGAGGCTGTGTAGCAGCGAAGAGCCCAGACTAACATAGAGAAGACCACTGCTACCTGCAGAGCGGTACAGAGCCCTTGGCTGGGGTCAGAACTTGGCTCTACCAGGACAGCTACGTCACTAACTCGGGGAGGCCTTTTCCTTCTTCAGAACAAAGTTCTCATTTCTAGAAAGGGAGGCAGAGCTTCTATGCAGCCAGCCATTTACTGTCCACCAAACGAGTCAGGGACCCAGAGACTGCACTGTGTCTGTCGCAATGTCACCATGCATCTCTGCACTGACCACAACATGGACTCTCAGTAAACATTCATAAAATAAAGCAACATTTCAGTCTACTTGTCCCTCCTTTGGATATGCCCACCCCACTAATCCATCCATTTATGCACCCATTTACTTATCCATCCGTCACCCACCCATCTTTCTATCCTCCTACTTCCTCCATCCTCCTAGCTACCTTCCACTCATCCCCATCCATCTATCACCCACACTACTCACCCACCTGCCCATCTGTCACTCTTTCTAAGTCCCACCCTTCTCGTCAGTTTCTTTCCACCTACTGCCTGTCACCAATCCACTCACCAGTCATCCATCCATCCATGCATGCATTTCATCAATCAGCCAGCATCAGCTTGAATTACTTCTGAGTCTATGCACAGCCAGGAGCCTTCTCGTCTTTAACACAGACAGCTTCCTCCTGCACATGGTGATGTTGTCTGTAGTGATCACTGTTTATTTAGGCAATGGATAAATGCTGGCTCCTCTCTCTTACTGCTGTGAGACATAGAGGGGGTAAATAGGGCCTGTCTCTGTCTTCAGAAGGGCCCCAGATCTACAAGCAGGTAAGATGCTGGGGATGAGAGCCTCTCTGCTAGCACCTACTGTGCATCAGCTCCTGTGCTATCTGCCCCCAAGACCCTGCAAAGGGCACATTGTTACCCTCTTCTTACAGATGCAGAATCTGAAGATCCAAGAGGTTCAGTCTTGCCCAGAACACAGTCTACTTTGTGGCAGATCTGGTTTAATCCTAGTAAAGGGTTAAATGTTCCGGCCACACACAAACATACTAGGATTTATAGGAATGTGAGATAACTTTCAAATGTGAGTAATCAGGGGAGGCTTCCTAGAAGAAGTGTGTTTTAGGTTGTCTCTTAAGGACTTCGAAGACACACTGGGTCCTGGGTGCACTAACAGAGAGGGCTTGAGCCTTTTCTCATCTGGGTCTTAATTTTTTCACCTTTAAAATGGACATGACACTATGTAGTGGCTAGAGAGTAGCTGTTTTTTTTTTTTTAATGGTTGGAGCATTCTGCCCTTGGGACAGCTTTTCTCAACGGCCATACTATTCACATTTTAGGTCTACCCATTCTTTGTTGTGGAGGCTGATGCTGTGGACTCTATGCCAGGAGCCAAAAATATTGGGACATCTGTAATAATAAAATATGTCTCTGGAAATTGCCAAATATCACCTGCGAGGACTATCACCTTAGAGAGAGCTCATCCTTTCCCTAATGTTTGTCCCATAGATAATGTCAGCATGGTAGGCCAGGACCAGCACATTTCCCAGCCCAGCCCTCTCCCAGGAGGCTGAGACAGGATGAGCATGAGTTTGAGGCCAGCCTGGGCTACATGGAAAGACCCTGTCTCAGAAACACAACAAAAACCAAGCAAACCACACAAGTCACAATTCTCTTTCCTCCTAATAGACCAAAGGGCTTAGGGTTTATTTTGTGTACTGCATCAAATTTCGGCTGGGCTCCTCGGCCCCTTTATTCACTTCTGGGGTCCCAGCACCAGGATGTGTGCTTGTGACACAGCAGGTGTCCTGCTTGTGTTTGCCAAATGAATAGACAAGATGCACTGGGGAATGCTTACTGGCATATAAAACCTTGACCAACAGAGAAGCGAGAGCTTTTAATTAAATCCACAGGGCCCTGGATCTGACACCGAAGCTGTCTGCCTCTACCCCCTCCACCCCCACTGAGGGTGGGGAAAGGAGGCTGTAACAGCCAAAAACAGATTTTTCTCTCTTCTTTCTTGCTGAGACTTGAGTGGGAGTGAATGCGTCAGTGCTGGGGAGCAGTATTCCCTGCTCTAACTTGCATTTGCAGGTTTGTTACATAAAGCACTGAGCTGTCGCCTGACACAGCCTGGCAGACCCACATTTGGGGACTGACGCAGATGCCCTCCCTGCACCAGCCATGCACTTGCCTCCAGCAGCCCTAAAGCCCGAGACCCCCTGCTGGGGAGCACCAGGGTGGATCTAGCTGAATACCTCATTTAGAGGGAGAAGAAAAGGAGGGTTGCAGCTTGCTCACCATCTCCTAGCAAAGCCAGCAACCATGATTAGGGTCCTCAGACCTCAAACATTCAGGCTCTCCTTTCCTCCCTGGCCTGGGATTTTCCTACAAGCTTAGTAAAAGTGATATCCCACTGCCACCAAACACTCATTCCAAAATGCCTCCCTAGACACTGGAGCCTTCTCACCAGCAAAGCAATGGCTACACTGACAGGTACAGCAGCTGAGACCAGAGAAGTCAAGACCCAGCTCAGGGACACACAGCAAGTGATGGCAAAGCACCCTCCACCTGATTCCCATTTCCCAGTGCTCACTGTCCCTAAATATCCCAGGCCTGTGGCCAGAGCTCAGACAGCAGAAAGCCAGGCACAATTTCGTTCCTCCTCCCCCACTCCCCACCCACACTCTTCACTAGCTCCTTGTGGCACTGGGGATTTAGGTCCATGGAGATATCCTGGAAGCTGGGGGTTGGTTCTTATTCTCCCAGTTTCACTGTGTGCCCTAAGGTAACGTGCAACCTTCTCTGAACATCAACCTGCCAAATGGCCTGGGTCCTCCCAGAGATGAGGCTAACTCTAGGGGTTAGCCGAGGTGGGGCGGTCAGCATCATCCTCTCCAGTTCTGATTGCTGGCTGAGCATCCTCAGATCCTTGACCGGCTCTGGGTCTTCATCTTGCCTATGTCTCTAGGTATCCCTACACCTTGTACTACCAGGTAGTGGAGTCCAGAAAGCAAGTCCGTGGAGATAAAATATGTTCTAAGCTGGGTTTGGAGGAAGTGGCCAGGATGATGGGGAAGACACGGACAGAGAGGTGCACAAACAAGCTGCACAGCAGTACAGAGACAAGCCCCATCCATCCGTAAGCTGCAGTGACCTTGACTTTAACTACTCCTGGGGGCCTTGAAAACCAGGGCAGGAGAAAGTCCTGACTCTTCTCTGGCCTCGGACCAGGGCTTATAAAGGTATAGTTAACCTCAGTAGGAAGAACTAGACCAATCTGCCTGCTCAGGTTCTCATAGCCCTTACTCTCCTCCCCACACACCTTGTGCCTCCCACAGACCCTCCAGGCTGTCGCCCCCTGCTCCTGCCCCACTAGGATGGCCGGGACTAGCGGGGATTGGGGGGCGAGTTCCCCCAGGGAGATGCTGTCTGCACACCAACACACTCCTCCCTTCTCCCCCAAGCAGGGTCGAGACCCACTCACCCTCCAGCAGGGTGCCTAGATGACAGAACGCGGCCAGGCACAGCAGCCACGCGAGCGGAGAGGGAACCATGGCTGGAGTGCAGGAATCCGGTGGGTTAGAAGGCTGGGCCACGTCGCAGTTCCAATTAGTCCCTCTGCCACCAGCCTCGGTTGCTTTTTATAATGGGCTGGCAGCCTCCGCCCCCGGCGCCCGCAGTAGGAGGCGGTGGGAGGGGAGAGGAAGAGCCTGTGGCTGAGGCTGGATTCCTCCCAGGTTGCCAAGGAACCGTTCGCGCGCATAGCTCTGTTCCGGGAGCGGCGGCGGGAATCCGGGGGCACACTGCACTGGGCCACCTTCCCTGAAGAGCCTAGGTCTGGTCGTCTAAATGGACAATGAGCCAAGGACATGCACAACGCTATACCCTGCCATTCCGGATCTGCCAAGCCCTTTCTTGTCTGGGGGCAGTCAGGGTCTTTCGCGCATGGGATGCCGAACCCCAGCTCCCAAGTACCTTTCCTCGAATGTGTCTGCGGGGTTCAGCACACAGCCCGGCAAACAGTTTTGCTGAAAGAATGATCCAGTCCTGCCTCCCAAGGACAGATGAGGAAACTGAGACCCGGAGAGGGGAGGGACCATTCCAAACCATGAACTTGTCAGAGCCATGGGCCTCTCGACTCTCCCTGAACCCTAATGCAGAGCCTTGGCAGCTCTGCTGCTATAAGGGGAGGATCTGATCTTCTAGTAGAAGCCGAGACCAGGCAAGAACTAGCAGCAAGGCTTGGGGTACTGCACATAACCTGCTTTCACAGCAGGCTTTCCTGAAAACAGGGGGTATAGTCCTGGGATTCTAGAACAGTCAGCTAGAGCCTCTTCAGCCAGAAATGAATTATGCTACTCTTTTGGGCAGCCAGCCAGCAGGGGAAAACCAGTTTGTCTAGAAAAGTGTCCCTGGCTATGGAGCCAACTGGATCATAGCCAGCCTGGTCCATACTTGGTCAAGCAGAATGGTTGCAGCTGCCACATCAGAGGACCTCTGTTCTCCCCTGCTACCCACTAAAGCAGAGCTGGCACCTGGAATGGGTGTGGGGCAGCTGGGTACTTACAGAGTTGGGGGCGGCTCCTCTGGTGAGGTCAAGGTACAACTCGGGCCCAGATGACCTGCCCTTACCTGGCCAGATAAGCTAGGAAGTCTCATTTTACAGCTGGAGAGACTTAACAAGGAAAGGACTCAACAAGGTCAGCGCTGAAGAGGCTGAGGGAGGATTGCCTGAAGTTGCAGGTTAGCCTGGGCTACATAGTTACTTCCAGGTCAGCCTGGCAAAACAAGCACAGAAATCCAGAGGCCCAGGCTTCTTTGTGCTGTGCTATGTAAGAGCAGAAGATAGGATAAGATGAGGTCAGAGGAGAAAGAGAGAAGGAGATGAAAAGGGAGCATTGTGGGAAAACAGCACTTGTGTTTTTTAAAGAAGGATGTAGAATTAAGAACCTGGCATCCCTGACCTGATGGTGTGCTCCAGAGGAGACTCTGGAGGGAGGGGAGAGAGAAGAGACAGGATGCAGGACTGGTTCTGGAGTTGTTGCACAATGTTTGTATTCTGTAAAACCGGAAAGGAGATGCTAAATTACTGTGAGTCAGGCTCTAAGAAGGTGCTGGGTGCATAGCTCATCATCTAGCATGCAGAAAGCCTGGAATGTATCCCCAATACCACACAACGAAACTTAAGGGGGTTTTCCACAATTAACCCATGTAGTCATGATCACAAACCCAGGGTTTAAGACTAATACTTATCACTGTGGTAGCTGAAGGTAGGAAGTGAAGAAGGAAGGCTTGACCCAGCTAGCTGTCTCTTGGGTTTGAGTCTCCATCCCTTGGCAAGGAACCATTTGACTTGTAAGTGTTCAAATGCCCACACTGTAGGTGAAAAGACAAAAACAGCTTTATTCTAACTTGCTCAGTTCCAGAGACAGCCTGTGTGTGCTCCCCATGGGTTCAACTTCTCACTTACAGGTATCGAGAAGTAGCTGTTGTGGTGCAGTTTGGACACAGTAGCCAGGCTTTCAGGTCCACTGGACCCAACACAAGCACAACTCTGCCACCACTAAAGGTCTCACTAGGCAGGGTGCAGTATCCCCATCTATATACTGGAATGCCAATGGTCACCTCACCAAGTCCCTGGGGAGTGAATAAAACTAATGGCTTTCTCGTGCCTGGCATGAAAGAGTGGTAGTGTTTACAAAGCCCTTGTGTGTGTGTGGGACTGTGGTAAGACAAAGAGACCCAGGGGCAAGTAAATAAATCATAATCCTTGGCCTCCATGAGCCCCAGCTCAGTACCAGGAGGAAGATACAAGGACTCTCAGGTTGTGGGGCTGAAGCAGGAAGCAAGAAAGCAGTAAGCTGACAGGGTAGCTCAGTGGTAGGGCATTTGGCTGGCGTAAGTGAGGGCCTGGCTTCCATCTCCAGAACCACATGAAACCAGGTGTGCTGGCTCACACCCCCAATCCCAGTACTTGGGAGGTGGAGGCAGGAGGATCAGAATTCAAAAAAATCATCATCATCATCTACCCAGCCTGTGACATAGGAGATCCAGGGGGCGGGGGAGGGGGAGGAGGAACAGAGAAAGGAAGGAGAGGGAGATGAATTCCCAGCTCAAAGGCAAGCAAAGGAGGTTTGGTTCCTCAACCACTTTTTGTAAAATATCAAACAAAATAGAAGAATGATAGAAGAATGGCATGAAGGGTTTTCATATTGTAACCTCCAAGATTCAACAGTCAACATTTTTCATATTTGTTTCAACTTTTTTTTCCCCCTTGGCCAAACTACTGCAAAGTAAATTCTGGCTGCTTGGCATTTTGGCCCTAATAACCCAGTGTGCACCTCCATTTTCATTCATAAGTACGATACAATTATAACTGTCCCACCTCACAGACTTAGTAGTAACTCTTCTATGTCATCCAGTACCCAGCTCACATTCAAATGTATTCTTTCCCTTTCCCTACCTCAAATCCTTTTCTTGCTTTCTCTTTTGATTTTTCTTCTTTATTTTAGGATTTATTTTTATGAGTGTGTGTGTATGTGTGTGTGTGTGTGAGCGTGTGCGTGTGTGCATGCATGTGCGTGAGTGCCACCTGTGAGCAGGTGCCTGTTGAGGCCAAAAAAGAATATGATATCCTCTGGAGAGGGGTGACAGGCAGTGGTGAGCCATGTGATGCGTGTGGGTGCTGGGAACTGAACCTAGGTCCTCTGCAGAAGCAGTAAGTGATTTAACTGCTGAGCCTCTCTCCAGCCCTTCTTTACCTTTCCTTCCCCCCCCCCCCGCTTCCCCTCTCTTTTACAAGTTCTTAATACATAGCCCAAAATCCCCATGCCTCAGCTTCGCAAATGCTGGAGAACCCAGGCTTGAGTCACACTTGGCAGCTCCTGCTTTTATTTTATTGAATCAACTAAAACTAGGTGTGTGTGCTGCAGAGTTATTTTCTGTTAGCCCTGGTAGATCACTTGAATGTTTTTATTTTTATGACATCGACCTTTCAGAGTCAAGACTGTGTTTATACAATGTTCTCATTCTAAATTATCTAGTTACTTCCTGATCCTTATCCTGTGTGCTTCCTATAAACCAGAACTTCAACCGACATATTGGATGAGACCCAGATTATGTATTCAAGGCAAGATGCTGGTATGAGTAATAGTGTGAGGCATGTATGTGCAGGATGCTCACACTTTTACTTTTGATGGAATAGATGGATTGGCAGGTGCATGAGTTTACTTCATTGTATAACTACTATTGTCTTGTGACTCACAAATGTTGGGGTATGTCTTAGCCTCGCAATATGCATACAGGCAGGCTTGATTTGTTTATTTGTTCATTTATCCACTCATCTTTCTCTGGGGTAGTCTAGGCTGGCCAAGGACTCACTATATAATCCATTTTAGTCTTGAGTTTGGAATCCTCTGCCTGCACTTCCTAAGCATGCAGTGACACCAGGCTTACGGGCAGGTTCAGGAAGAGCCTAATCCAGATGAAAGTGCAGGCCCCTTCATAACAAGGGGGATGTCTATGACAGGCTCTCAGGAAGGGACTCTGGGGAAGCTGCAATTGGACCACAGACAAGGAATGACAGGAAAGTTGGGGATAGGGGGAGGGGCTTTGATCTAAGGAATGACCAGGGAAGCAATTTTAAATTGTGCATGAGGAAGGGGGAGCTTCCTATAGCCCCACTGAGGGTGACTTTGAGACCACCTATGGGGGGTCATTGCCTTTTCAGGCCCCCCCAGCTCTTCTCATTTCACTCTGGCCAGTCAGGAGAGCACAGCCACAACCCCGCCTCTTCCTCCAGTTCCCACCCACAGACTTATACGTTCAGGGGGCTGTTGACTGTCCATGCCTCACCCTTTCTCCTATTTTTATTTTCACCTCACTTATTAGTTTATTTGTTTAAAATGTGCATTTTATTCTTTATCATTATATAGTGGGGGTATTTTCTGAGTGGGGGAGCAGATTCTTATGTAGCCCAGGCTGTCTTTGAGCTCTGGAGCCTCCTGACTCTATCTCATGTGTGTTGAGATGCCAGGCATACTCTACCAGGCCCCAGGTTTTTATAGGAAAGAGGTTGAAGCCAGGGCTGTAGGCATGCTAGGCATGCACTCTACCAATTGAGCTGAAACCCAGAACTATGCAGTGTTACCCAAAACAACAGACAATAGAGAGGGTTGTTGTTACTGTTACATTGCAGATGTTGAATATTGTGGTTAAACTGTCATGCAATTTCAGGGATGAGGAAGGGATGTCTGTGTGGGTCAGATGTTAGTCATACACAACAAGACAGGTAGTGAGGCTATGGAGTTGGGGAAGGGAGATGAGCTGATGAGTGTGGGGGATACTGAGGAAATCTAGTGATTCTACTGAATTCTCAGGGAAACCAGTGACTCAGGATCCAGAGAGAAACTGGATTTGTAGATAAAGGGGACAGAGTCCTCTGCCAAAAAAACTTGAACATGACACTAGAATTCTCTGAAGGACTCCAAAACCATCATCTGTGGGATCTTAGGCATGGGAACTATCTAACAGCCTTCCTGGTAAGAAGAACAAACAGCCAAATTAAAAAAACTCTTGAGTGGTGTGGTATTTGCTGTCACTGTGTGTACTTGCATAGGAGGGACAGCGTTTTCATTCACATTTTATGCTTATGTGATGCTTTGAGGTAAGAAAGCCTATCTAAGATCTAGGGATGCGAAGCTACATACTCTGTCCATAAGCACACTGCTTCTCTATATAGCAAGCAAGATAAATAAATAAACTCAAG